AAAACAAGTAAAAAAAACATCCATGCTGAAAAAAGAAAAAAGAAAAGAACGACACAAGAAAAAAAATAGACCAAACAAGAAGGAAAAAAAAAAACCAAGTAAAGATTAAAGGAACAAGCATAACTACAAGACACAAAACCACAAGACGCAAAAACCGAACATTAAAAAAAAAAAAAGTATCGAGCACATACACAAAATCAAACAAAAAAAATACAAGCAAATATGCAAAATCTAAACAAGATAAAAAGAACAAATAATCCAAAAGCATATATATATACACACACACACACACAAAAATTCTAAATAAAAAATTATTAAACTTGACAGAGATATCAAAACATACCGAAAATAATTAAATTCATACAACAAACATAAAATCAAATATAGAATTAAATTGAGAAGTAACACTAACTTGTATCTCACTAGAAAATTTAATATTGAAAAAGTATTTGTGAAACCCTGACATGCATAGCATAACATTTAATTAAATGTATTGGTATAATGGGAAGATGTATAAATTTTAAGGAAAAGTAGAATTTCCTAAAAAAATTTGGGGAGGTAAGTGTAATTACTTAATATTTTTTGCGAGGTATGCATGAAATGGGGGTATATTTTTGTATAACAATGTAAGTTTTATATTAGATAGGTAGTAAATATAAGTTAAATTATATGATAGATTATGGGTGAGAAGAAGAAATAATAAAACATGGGTAAAACTAGGTGGATAAATGTCCACCACACATGAATTAGTGCTTGATTTTAGCTCCAAAGGATGGATGGATAGCGGATGGTGAGGTTTTTCCATTTTGGTGGGTCATTGTGTAGTTTTTATACGTTGTGTGTATATATAGCTAGATGCGTACAAACAAAACATATATAGTAGTTTTCCTTTGGTCGGCCAACTAGAAACCACCTGGACATTACTTGGTGCATGGCTATAACACCTGTGTGTGTAAGCAAAGCAAGTAATGGGTTTGGTGTCCTTATCATGTTTTTAGTAGGTAAAGACAAGAGAATTGACAAAATAAAGAAAAGAAAAAAAAAAGAGATAGGAAGATCAGAGAATGGGCGATGGAAAGGGAGGTGCAAACTGAGGTCTGAGTGAAGATTCAACGATTAAATTTCTTCCGGTTGTGATGAAAATTGAGTATATTGCTCATATTGTCGTGAATCACAGATTCACTAGTTTCAATTCGGGATATGTATAGTAAATATTTAATAATTTGAGATTTATGTATTTATTATTATCTTAAGTTTTGAGTTGACACTGGAGTAATGATTTAATATGTGTTCAAATGAAAACTTTAATTATTAGTTATAGAAATTATATGGGTATAGTGGTGTCAAGTACAAATATTACATGGTTAATCAAGTAAAAATGAGATTGCTTTGTTTGAAATATTAATTACATGTAGGTATTCATAACCAGTAGATGAGATTAGATAGTTTAAATGCTGCCATGCTAATAAAGCATAAATTTAATTATTGAAATTATGAGGCTGAAATTTAAGTTGTTGAAGTCAACAGATAAAAATAAGAGGGTAAATCTAAGTGTTAAAATTCAATCTGTAAATTAATGTTTGATGCTATATAAAAGCTGAAATAGTTTCCTTAAGTGTTGAAAAATAGTAGTTAGATGAATGGTGGTGTTATTTACATACTATAAAAAAATATTAGAGTGAATTAAAGTAGTTCCTAATGTGATCGAGACATACTAATTTGAAAAGATTAACGAAGTCAAAGTATGATCATTGTATACAATCAAAGTAGAGCATCAAATATATATTCATATGCATCATTTGCATCAATTGAATAATTTTATGTCGATGCTCACTTGCATTTGCACATATGTTAATTATTATGGTCGGAGACTATTACCTCGGTTGCTCATAGGAATCGATTGTAAAACGAGGAGGGGTATCTGTCACAGATAAAGGTGAAGTGTACTGCTTCATAATACTTGGAAATAAAAGTATGTGATATGTCAACTTTATTCTCTTGTATGTGAGAAATCAATTTTGCCGAATTGATTTGAGTTGAGTTGCTTAAACTATGTATCAAATGTGTTTTTATGAAAAGTTTGTGATTTGAGTATTATCCACTATGTCGAGTTGTTAATAGTTTGACATGACTTACATGTTGTTGATTTGGACACTACGCAGTTTTCATGAGATAGCTTGACATTGCTTAAATGTTGTAGATACTATGACATTGCTTGTATGGTGTTGTTTAACTCGATGCTTATCAAAATATATGTGGATATTTACATATTTTGATATATGGGGATGATTTGTGTTTCAAAGTGAGTTGAGATCACTTTGGTTGTGATTTGCGAGTTATGAGTATATTTTGAGTAGAATTATATTTGATCCATATTTTTGTTTTATTTCCTTTGATTATGATGTTCAGTACACTCAAGAAAATTATTGATTTCAGAATGCCGAAGTTTAGAGTGAGGTCCATTACTATACATGAGTGTCTGTTTTTTCTGTTGTTTATTGTAAAGGGATAAAATCTCTAATCTTTTATTTTGGTAAAAACATCATTGTGTACTCTGTTATATAGTTTCCTGTTTTAATTGTAGCATTAGGTGGCATTATTGATTTTTAAATATTACAAACGCAGGTATTGTCACATGTTGAGATAAGCTTCCGTATTTGGAAAACCAAAGAGGGTCTCTCAGGATGGGGTGTGACAATATTTTTATGAGTGCATGAGATGATTTAGAGAATGAAACTCTAATTATGACAAAATATAAAATGAATTTACTTATTAAAGGAGGGTATGTAGTATGGGGTGAGCATAGTTACCAATAGATGGATATAGAATGGGTGAGTTTAGTAGTTTGATAATGATTAAATAAATGAAGTGAGAATGGAGATTTGTGGGGGTGAGAATAGTCCCACTCATCTTTTAATCTTTGTAGAATTTACACACTTATCCCCTGAAAATTGTTTGAAGTTGGGTTTAGTCATTATTGAAGGGTTGCAGTTTTAGGATTCCCACCCCTAAATAGGTTAGTATTGTGGCTAGTAATAGGTGTTTTTTCCCACTATAAATTGGTTGGCAAAGTTAGGCAGATTTCTGGGTAATACGTTTCATTATGGAGTGGGAGTTGCATGGATTATTAGGGTTAATCTTATTTCAAAAGATGGGTAATGCCACACTACCGACGTCAGTACCATGCCTTCATTAATCTCGGTCATCGATTTTGAATTGGATGATCTACAACTATTTCTATTGGTCAGAAAGTGGAGCTACAATACCAAAAAAATATTTTTCAGTACCATAATGCTTCCCTCCCAAAGATGTCTGTAATGACAAATCTACAAACATATGAAGAAAAGTCCGAGGAAGACAATAAGGGGACTCAAAAGACTGCTACCTAAACTTGATTTGTGGCTTCTCCTCCTTATTTGGTGATGCATACACTGTGACAGGTCAGGAAGTAACCATAAAATGAATTTTGGTGTTTAGAAAAAATTCAGAGGCTGCTACAAGGAATAAAGAGGAAGGGACACACATATTCCAGTATCAAACTAAGATAAACCAAATAAGATCGGAAATTGAAATTCATTTCATGCAACTAGAGATGACAATCTTAACTAATTATTCATTAATCCATACAACTTACCCATAAATAAATAGGCTGAGTACTTATATTAATTAATGTCAGTTCTAAATGAATTGGATAATATGATTCATTTTAACTAAATAGGTTAACATTGATTAAAAATGGATATCCATTGGATTGAATATTTATCTTTCTATTAAATACCACCAATAATAAAATCAAATAAATATACTACTATACCAAAAAAAACACACTAATATACTAAAAAACACGTGCAGCAAATACCCCTGTGCCATGTATCTTTACTACTTGAATGGAAATAGGAAATGTACACTTCCAACTTCGACCTGAGACGACAATGAAAGATTAAAAACTGCTGAAGTTCCATTATTATAACATATTTCTGTACCATCCAATTTCCTGCTAAAACATGAAAATGTAAATGCTGTCTTCAGCCTTCTCTTTATTCCCAGTTCCTTCCAGCATCATAGATAGTCTAAATGTACTACATTGAGTGCACTATCAATTTCACAAATATCGTAGATTTGGAATGCATACACTCAAACAGTTCCTTAACAAGTGCATGTTGGTGGACATCTTCACATGGGCTTCTGAAACTTCCCATGCACCCACACCCTCCGCATGCTCTTCCCATTTCGGCGATTAACAGACTTAACACAACAATATTCAAGCTCAAGCTGCAAAAAGTGCTCAAGTCATTATTGCCCAATGGTCTGATAAACCATGAGATTAGCAAGAAAATTCTGGAAAGAAAACTTGAAAACATACAAAGAAACATTTCCTTTCTTCCAATAAAATTTTAAGGGTCAACAAAGTTTCCTTTCTTCCATTTCCTAAATCTACTAGAGATAATAGTCCATTTTGTCCCACTTGTAACTCCAACATTTGAAATACCAAAAGAAAAAAACAAGATTGGGTTCCCAAAGTAAGAAGATTAACTATTAAAAAAAGAAATACCTCGGTAAAGCCAGCACCTATGAAGAGATTCCTCACACTATCTAAACAGAAGAAATAAGATCGGGTTCCATCAGAACGCATGTACTCCCGGAACCCCACTCTTTGTTCTTTTTCAAATCGAAGCATAGTCATGTCATAAAGGCCTAAATATTATAATACAAAATAGATTTCAGCAGATGCTGGAAAGAAAATCAAACCAGTAATAACAAATGAATAAAAAATCAAAAACCAAAATTTCCATGAATTGAAAGTTTCTATATGGACTCCGATCACATTTTGTTGGGCCAGTACCATAATCCCTGAATAAGAGCAGGCCGCCAGGCTTTAAGACAAAGAAGCACTCTGCAATGGCTGCTGGCATCTCAAGGAGTGGTATTGCTGATAGAGTGAATATCTAGCAAATCAAATAAAATAGGATAAAGGTTGATATAATATCATTATGTTTCACTATGTACCACCGTTTACAGTCTCAAAAGAAAGACATGCAATGCCTAGGAATCAACCATAAAAGAACAGTCTATCTACAGTATATATTTTACATCATAAACACAAAATTACACGTCCACATGAAGTGTTAAATTGTGTTCACCGGTCAACGCCTGTATGAGAAAGAAGAACTTGATATACATTCGCAGGTAGAGAGATGAACAAGTTTTGTTTTTCTAACAAAAGTAAAAAAGTAATATATATTTGAGTTGAAGTAGAATTTGTTCAAAATTCAATTTGACAGCTAAGGTTGCTTGAAAATCTTATAAAAAAGTCTAGTGTTTTGTAAAGCATTTTCACAGTAACTTGTAGAAGTAGAATGATGTGAAGATAAACCAGGATAAAGAAAAAGAAGGTGGGCGCAGTATTCCGATTAAAATGAAAGCTGGCAGTAAAAATATGCAAAAAGAAAATACAGGTGACATTTGCTTAGAAACTCAATACAACAGCATAAAGCCAACTAAACTAACAAAGGGATATCCCAAAAATGACCCACTGTAACCAATTTGATTTTTGCAAGGAACATCTAAATGGCCTGTAACATACGAACTGAGACCATGGGAAAGGGATCACACTTACCAAGGTAACAAAATCAACCCCACCAATGCAGCAGCTAGTTTCCTTCAAGAAAGTTAAATCATTTAAATCTCTTCTTCTATTCTTATTAATATCTGGAGAAGGATGTAACAAGCAAGTGAATATTGTCTTGTAACCAATGATTGCTACGTAAAATAACAAATATACAAAGAAAACATAGGGTTAGAACCTGAAATGCAAGCATGTTGCGTATGTGAAAAAATTTGTCGACAAGTATCACATGCTAACCATTTTGGTACCCCACTTCTAGAAAAATCACATTGGAATGGATGGAAGAGATTTTTAGCAGAGATTCCATCAGCAGCATTAATCATTTCTTTAGCCCACTCAAGGGCCTCGCTGCTGCAATCACAGGCATATACAGTGATGCTCTCATTGGCACTACAGCACAAGAATAGGTGTTGCATAAGGATATCATGGCACTGGAATAAGAATAATACGGTGCAAAATACTGAAACAAAAGTCTCCAGTTGCCATCCAAAGTAAAATAACAATCGAACTTCCTAGGGAATTTGCAGGCTACAATTTCATTCATTTTTTGTGCGGACTTCTTTAACATCATACATTTTTTACCAAAAACAGAAATCCTGTCAAAAACTAAGAAAGAACTCAGAAGATCGACACCCAAAACCTAAGAGGGAATGACGGGCAAGGGGAAAGTGGCTGTTATTTTACATTGGATAGCAAAAGAATGGTTGTTCAATATTTCATCATGATAATCAAAATTGACATCTATTGTTTCACTAAAAACAGGTATCCTGTTATTTAACACCCAAAAGCCAAGAGGGGAAGAGGGGGAAGAAGAAAAAAGAGGAGAATCCAGTGAGCAGATCTCAAAGGCTTTGAGCTGGAATATATCTTGTTGATAACTATAGAGGGTTAACCTTTCACAATCCGCAATAAAATATGAAGCTTAGTCTGGAAAACCTTCCTTATCGCTTTACAACCCAACATAACTGCATTAACAGTTAACAGCAACATCAATTGGCACGGGTCAGCCAGAGTACAACCATCAAAACTAAAGAAGTGGGAATAAATAGCAACTGTGGAAGTCAAATACAACCACTGATGCCTGGTTCTTGAACCACAAGTATTTCTCAGAATGAAAGAAAGCTAATTGTGCTGATGGACACATTTGGAGACTGCACTTCATCCTAATAGTGGTACACATCAACAACTCCGTCCAAACCTAAGGGCTAGGTCCCTCCCTATGAAGCACCACTACAGATACAAGTATGATACAATACGGATACGTCGATACTAATAAAATAAAATAAAAAATAGGATACCGCAACAACTATGATACGTCTGTAATAAAATATATTTTATATTTTTACTATTAACTAATGACTTACAAATTATATATTTTAGTAATTCCTTAACAATAATAGGCAAAACTAACAAAAAAAATTGTACTTTAAAATAGTATATATCGTCAAATTATGGTATATTTACAAAGTGAAAGTGACTAATTAAAAAAATCAAAACCAATATTTACTTAGTTGGTATACTTAGAAGTATTTATTGCTAAGGTTAGAGTATAAAAAATTTGACATGTAATAGTAAATAATCCTTAAACACCCTTGTTTCTTTAAAGTCGTATGAATTTCTATTGATATATTGCATTGTATGTGGCTTCGAAAGGAGATGATAAAGATTAAATCTAAAAATTAAATATATTGCCCTAATACAAACATTCCCCTAACTATCCACATATTTTATTATTATTGAATACTTAGGAGCCGTATCCGATATGTATCCTTGAATATCTGACGTGTATTGCCCTATACGGATAAGCCAGCCATAGCAAAGTATCAATGTTTCATAGGTCCCTCCCAACACCTTTCAGCTATGGAGCAAAGCTGCCATATTTATTAGTCTTCCAAAAGAGACACTAATAATAATATCAATAAGTGTCGATAGAACAAAGCGCAATGAAAACACACATCTTGCTTGCCCCGTGGTCAAATGATTAGTGCTAGAACTTGGCACATTAGAAAGGAGTAAAGTCAATCTACTTTATAAAATGTTTTCACACGGGCAAGGGGACCGGAAAATTACAAAAAACATGTACATAGCTAAATACTATAGCACAAATTAAAAACTTTTTCCCATATAAACTTCTTGGAAAGCAAGAAACAATTTTCCCCCTAAAAGGTACGTTGAAGGAGGTGTATTCTGTGAAAATGGAAAGTGGAAGTTCTTCACCATCTAGTGCATTAGTTTACCCCAATCTAGTTCCCTATCCACAACATCTACCGATTGATTAGATCATGACAACACTTTACAAGTTATATCATCATTGCCTAACTTTAACAATGTGCGACGTTCTAAAATTTCTCAAGAAAAAATTATGTTTGGATGGATGATTTACGAATTTAAAGGTCATCTTCAATGAAATTACAAACCCCTTAAATATTGTTGTCACAATGCGTCTAAGTATGTTGTTAGGGATTAATACACGGAGAGAAGTTACAGAAGTTATATAGGGTTGCAGGTAGGTTAGGTTGTGAGGTTGATGGGTGGCCTTTGAACTACTTGTGACTATCTACCAGGAATACTTTATCAGTAAGCTTTTGGTACTCTATTATTGAAAGCATTCAAAAGAAATTAGATGGGTGAAAAAGGAATTGCTTATCAAGGTGACGAAGGCTCACATTTGTACAATCTATTTTGGCAAGCATACCTATTTGTTTCTTATCACTTTTTAAGATCCCTAGGAAGATAGCATTTAGAATTGAAAAATTAATGAGGAATTTTTTGCAGTTGGGGGGAGGAGAAAGGAGAATAAATCACTTTGTTAGATGGGAGGTGGTGACTTAATCTGGGAGGCTGGGTGTGAAAAATTGGGTGAAGAAAAATAAAACTTTGCTAAGAAAGTGGTTGATGCCTGACAGAGCATGAAGAAATAAGCGATATAAAAGAATAAGAGATACTAAATTCTCGCAAGAATTAAGTCAACAAACATACAAAATTCTCCATAGAGAAACAATTTTTATTATATCACACTCTACAATAAAAATAGTAGGGCTTAAATCCATATATATAAGCTAAGTCCCATACCAAAAAAAATAATAATTCTCCTACTAAAATTCTAAAAGAATTTCAAAATCAAACTCTCAAATTCATATCATACTAAACATCTATAATAATTCCATAATCAAACTCTCACTAATACTTCTAATCAAATAAATATTCCTAAATTAAATAACATTTTCCTTTGGATTAAAAATTTCTAGTCTTTCTTTTAGGCTTCCAAACTCGATTATATTAGTCCAACCAACCAACCAACGACTGCGCCATCCGTGGTTATGGAGGTTTCTAATAGAATTTGATGTTTTGTCGCATGATGTTATCAAACATAAATATGGACTTCATATTTGCCACAAAGATTCATGTTCAAGTACAAAACCTCCACAACCACATACCTAAAAAAATAGTATTTCTCTTTACTAAAACTTTATTTTTTGATTTAAACACCACCTCCCACCTAACAAGGTGATTTTTATTCCTTTCACCACTACTCACCCACAAAAAATCTTTCATCATATTTCTCACAAGGAAGCAATCTTCTTAGGAATTTTAAAAAGGGACAAAAAGTAAATGAGATAATATTCAACACATATTGTACCAAGGTAAGTCTCCTTACCTTTGATAAACAAACCAACTTCAATCACCTACAAAAGACTCCCCCAAACAATAGTGCCAAGTACTTCAAAGACAAATTACCTACTTCACAACCTAACTTACTTGAAATTTTACCTAACTTGTCCTTTTGTGTTTTGATTCCTACCACTAGACTCTTTGACATATTCACTTTCAACCTTGACACCAAACTGGAACTCAGTAACTTCCACTAAATTTTAAAATTTTACCTCGTCCTCAAACAAAAAAAAAAAAAAAAGACATATCATCCGTAAACTCTAAATGTGAAATGTTCACTAGGTCCCTTCCCACCCTCAAACCTTTAACTAAATTATAATCCCTTGTTCTATCCATTGACCGACTAAGCCCATCTATGATTAAAATGAAAAAAAAAAAAAAAAAGAGGTGACAATGGATCTCCTCGTCTAATAACTTTAGAAACATTAAATCTCCTACGCGGTTTATCATTAACCACCACTAAAAAATTCATTGAACTTAAATATCCCTGATCCAACCCCAAGATCTACTCCCCAAATCTTTAACGTCTAAAACAAGGTCTAACCAATTCCAATTCACATGATCCTATGCCTTTTCAAAATCAATATTAAAAAGCATATCTTCTTTCCAATTAGAGTTATACCCTATTGCCACTTCATTTGTAATCGAGACAATGTCTAAGATTTGTCTTCCTCAGACAAATGATCCAGATATTTAGAAATACTCTTCCCAGAACCTCCCTCAATCTACTTGACAAGACCTTAGGTAAAATCTTACAAGAAAACCAATCACTAAGCTAATAGGCCTAAAATCATTTATCTTTAATGAATTATTCTTTTTAGAAATCAAACAAATATATGTGACACTAATGTTAACATTTACCACCCCATATTAAAGAATCCCCTAAACACCTTCATCAAATCATCTTTAAAGGTCTTCCAACAGTCCTTGAGCATAGCCATTGAAAAACCATCCTAACTCGAAGACTGGATAAAATAATAATTCATGAGTTACTCGAAGAAATCAAAATCAAACTAGGTGCACCACTAAATGAAAATTAAGATAAAGCAAGTCTTGGGTTACCGTAATATAGGTAGAGCAGTACTGCCATTACCACATCCCACCTCCAAAACCTTACGATATTCATTAGAAGAAGCTAGTTCTGGAAATTCTTTCAACAAATACCGTCTCTCCTGCATCCAACTTTCAACCTTAACCATTGTGATATACAAAAGCTTGAATAAGGTGAAAAGGGTAAATCAATTAAAAAACATGAACAATGCTACGGATTTCTCAGCATTCCACAAGCAAGCCAAACCCAAAGTTCTCTAATCTTGATTATGACTTAGATATATGCATCAAAATTGAAACATATGCAAACAAACAATACCTGAAGAGAATTATAACCCCGTTTTTTAGGTTGATGAATAAGAAAGCAACATTAATAAAGCAATGGGCATGTCAGGGCAAAACTTGCATTTTCACTTGAGAGCTATAAGTTGATCACACAATACACCAGATGCGCTTCTCCAATAAAGACAACTACTCAAATTCAGAAACTTAAAAATTTAACTTGTTTACCACTCAGCTAAACAATCAATGTGGCCCAAATTCATAACATGCCTCACAAATAAAACATATTGCTCACTATGATGGCCCATTCCATAAAATTCGAGAAATTTTAGAGATACCCTAGTCATGGAAAGCATTCTTAATCTCTATAAAATTAAACTAGGAAAATAAAACTCAAAATATATATAAACAACTTGGGAAAATATCATGCAAAATAAGACTACATGTCGGCCTTTGGAATTTATTGTAATGTTTTGAAGTCAAGGGCATTTCTGAAATTTCTAGAATTTTCCAGAATGGGCTGCAACAGTGATCCATGGGTATGCTTTTGGGTCATATTAGCTGTTTAGTTAAATAAGACTAGTAAGATCTTTTATAGGAGTAGGCAATCATTTAGAGACTACATATATACATGTATTTCTTTCGCCATGAATATAGATGTTTCTAAAGAAATTTTTACAGCTTTTGAATTCTCTTTTGGTGTGCGATGGAACCCTAATGTAAGGTGTGATGCCTAAGGGATTCTAGATGTGATTCCTAGTTTTCTTCCTCCTCTCTTTCTTTCTTTCTCAGTCTTTGCAACTAACTATCAGCAAACTGGCCTATATAAGCCTCTTTGGATTGTAAGAAATGCTATTCAGCAAATCCAGCCCTTTCTTTCAATAAAACTTCAAGCCCAGCCCTTTTGAAACTCTAACTAATAAGTTCTACTATTTTCGATTTACTGTTCATAGCCCCTGAACAACCTTTCCATGTACCACCAAAACCCCTTTTTCCTAATCCCCGATGCTCACCAAACCTAACCCCAACAGCTAATAGGTTACATAATCTATGGCATCATAGGACTTCTCGGATTCAAGCCTTGAAACCACTGTAAAATTAGAATCTAAATTCTCATTCACTAAAGAGATGTACATAAGATCATGCTCCCTCTCAAGCCATGTCAACTTAGATGGGACTTCTCCAACTCAACCCTGGACATTCCTCAACATAGTCTACATTCAAAAAATAATAATAAACTTAAGATTCCACTTTCTCACAAATAGAATTCCATCAATCAGAGCAAGTCTATTAGTTAAAACTTTGGCAATTATCTACTGTACACTTCCAGCAAATAGATTTTTAATTTAGACTCCTTAGAAACCTCACAACTCAGCAACAATTGGGAACTTGACATCCATTCACTGCCCCATTCACACCCAATGTGTCATCCCAAATAAATTTCTGATGATCATGAGAAATTTTCTTCTCCATATTCTCTTGTCAACTGCCCATGCCATCCATAAACAGACACTTTGCCCAATGAAACAATTAGCCTTCTTCGCACATCTTTATGACAAATGTTCCAAACACCCCTCCCACACAATAATCCCTTGGACTTCCCATTCATCCTCTATTTTGTTGAATACAGTAATTCAAATTCATTGTCAGAAAGTGAAAAAAGCAAGCAATGTATACATCTACATGTTTTTATTCGTGATTACCTTGAAGAATTTGCCAGTGCAGTGACGAGTGTGAAACTGGCTCCATGCTTCTGAATCTTCTTGCCAGAATGGTGATGAACAAGGGATACCATTCTGATTGTCAAAAGCAAGGAAATGATATTCTAGAGATGGGTCATTCTCGATCTCTTGCCTGAGTTGGTCCCAATCAAAATCCTTGGAATAGTATTTTGTTTCCTTGCTCATTCTTCTTCCACAGTTCTGTACTTTCAATGGAATGACGAATGTTATATGTAGTGACTAGTTCTTTTATGGCTGGGGAACTTTGTGTTCAAAACCCTACACTGCAAAAAAACCAAAAAGTATAGCTGATTATGGGATCGATCCGGATAAAAACTTGTTCTAGTTTATTCATTTAATAAATGAGTCAAGCCTAAGCAATGGTTTGTTTGACTCGTCTATGCTTCTCCACATAAAAATACATGTTACATATGTTGGTCCATACACAAACTGTAAAGTCATTCTACAACAAAATAAAGGCGTGGCTTCCAAGTAGAAATGTTCTTATTGTGGAGCTACTAGACATAATGAGGCTTATTGTTGAAATAATAAACATGGAAAACCAGCTCATTTTGATCAGGTTTCTAATGATCTGACTCCTTCTGTATCTCAACCATCGACTGGTGGGTCTACTATATCTACGTCTGGCTCTCATGATGATCTTACCTTTTAGCTTAGTCATCTCATCCAGAAATTTTTTTCATTCTCTTCTCATTACTTCAGCTACCAATTTAGCAACTACCGGTAAGTTTGCACATGTAGCGGCACAATCCGCTTCACCATCTTGGATTATTGATTCAGGAGTTAGTGCCCAAATATCTGGAATTTCCTCATTGTTAATTTAGAAGCTAGTGCCCAAATGTCTAGTATTTCCTCATTGTTTTCTAATTTTTGATCATCTAACTCTCATATTGTTTTAGATAAGGGTTCGTATAGGTACAACTCTTATTTGAACAAAGTGAAAAAAAATGCGATCTTTATTGTCTAATAGAACAAACATTAATACCTTAATTGAGTCGGTCAAGATAAAATATGCTTCTCCGATTGCTCAAGGTAACTCTTTTTAACTGAGGAACAAAACAAGATCATTTTGTTCCATTTTTAGTAAAATAGTGAAGGATATTTCCATTAGTAATGAAAAAAGGGGTTAAGGGGATCTGTATTTGTTGCTCATGTCAATCAGAAGGTGCAAAAATACTAGAACTAAATGCAGAAAGTATGGAAAAACATCTCGTAATGTATTTCACCAAAAAATCAATTATGCTCCTATCGAAGTATCTACTCGTTACAAAATCTCAGGTGTCAAAGTGTGGATTTCATATAGTCAAAATAAAAAGGGATGTGCTATATCCGAAACATAATAAATATCGTAAAAGCTGGTGTAGTAGGGGCAACAAACCGGACGGTAAACAACTTGGTTTTGGAAGATATGGCACTCAAAGTTGTAAAGTTGGTTGTCTTTCATATCGAGTCATTGAAGTAGTGCGTCGGGCTATAATTGAATAATTCAATCGTGTTATGAGCGAAAAATTCTAAAAAAATGATAAGATATAGGTAAGAGTTTTTTTTTTCAGTGCCGATGTCATCTTTTTTCAGTCATCTTTTTTTTTCAATTTAGGAATTACTCTTTCTCCAAATTGGATCTCTACTAGTTAAGGGGAACTCATAATGCCTTTTGTACCAGATGGTGTACCTTCTCCCTCTCCGACTTTAGACCCTCCATTGCAGGTTTCCTGTCTTTTCATAGATAAACAGATTGTTTCATATGCTTTAGCTCCTTGGCCTACGCCTGATTCTACTGAGATCCTTCCTCTTGATTTATCTGATTTGCCTATTACATTGTGGTTCAATTTCTAATTTTATCTCTTTGCACCAGTTTTCCTTGTCTTTTCGTTGTTTTGCATCCGTTTTATCTTTTGTCTTTGTTCTTATTCTTAATTCTTTGAAACAGGCATTAACATTTCTGGGATGGAAATTGGCTATGGATAAAAAAATTATGACACTTGGGGAAAATCATGCTTGGGACCTCAATTCTCTTCGGTAAGTAGCCTATTAGTTGTCGTTAAGTGTACACTGTAAACTACCATCCTAAAGGTTTTGTTGAGCAGTTGAAGGTACAGTTGGTTTCTAAAGGTTACATTCAAACATACAGTGTAAATTATTGTGGCACTTTCTCTCATGTTGCCCGTCTTAACTTTGTTAAAGTTCTTATTTATGTTTCATTTCTAACTGACCCTTGTATCAACTGAACATAAAGAATTCATTCTCACAACGAGATTTACAAGAGGAGGTATGTTTGATCCAACCTCCAAGTTATGTTATTCAAGCCAAGAATAATTAGCGGGGGCGTTTGAAGAAGGCACTATATGGCTTGAAACAATCACCGTGTACTTGGTTTAATAAGTTCAATATCGTAGTGCCTCAATTTGATTTTTAGTACTCCACCTCAAATTATGCAGTGTTCATTTGTCATTTTTTCCGGAGGCATTATTATTGTTATTGTGTATGTCGATGACATCATCATCAGTGAAAATGACTCAAATGATAGTGTTAACTTTAAGGCCCATCGGAAAAAAACAGTTTCATCATACCAAAGATTTAAGTTTTCTTCAATACTTTCTAGAGATTGAGGTTATCCAATCAAAGAAATGTATCAGTTTGTGCCAATGGATGTATTTACTAGACTTACTATCTGAAACCGGAATTCTTAATGCGCATTCGATTGATACGCCTATAGACCCTATAGTTACGCTAGATCCAGCGAGTGGTAAAGTTTTTGATCATAAAGGACGATACCAACTGTTTGTTAGTAAACTGATATTACATTTGTTGTTGATGTGGTTAGTCAGTTCAAGTATGCCCCTTGTAATCCTCACGGGGAGGTTGTCTATCGCGTTGATTAGGCAAATAGTCATGGTAATAGACGATCTACTTCTGGCTATTGCACATTTTTTGGTGATAATCTTGTTACTTAGTACAGTAAGAAGCAAAATGTGATTGCACATTTTAGTGCAGAGGCTGAGTATCGTGCTATGCACATATTGTTTGTAAGATATTATTGGTTCATTCTTTACTTCGTGATATGGGATTTGATGTGTCTTCCCCTATGAAGAGGCACTATGACAATCGTGCAACTATTTTTATCACAAGTGATTCGATATTTCATGAACATGCCAAACACATTGAGTTGGATTGTCATTTCATTCGAGATCTCTTGATGTGAAAGGAGATCATCAATCCATATATCAAGCCTAGTGATCAGCTATGTGACATTTTTACCAAGCCATTGGCTTGGTATACTTTTAGTAGTTTATGTTCCAAACTGAGATTTTTTATCTTTATGCTCTTGAGGGGAGTGTTAGGTTTCTTATTGCCTATATTAGACATAAGTTAATTAGTGTAGGGTAATTCTGTAATTACTTTAATATCACTTGGTTATAAGTAAGAGACTATAGGGTAACCTAACCTACACACTTGATTATTACTCTCAATCTCTTTCGTCTCTCACTTCTCCCTTTTATTTTTCTTACACATCCAACTCATACTAAATATGTCAAGGCACATTTAATCTCCACATTCTTCTCCCAAAAATGAATTATATGGTGGGTATTGAAAAGCAACTCTTATTTCTAAGTACCTTATAATAAACTCACTTTTCAAGAAAACTATGCCTTCAAATATCAAAAATTTCTCCAGCTATTTGCAATGATTCGACAAATTGACATCAATGTTATCAAAACCAAACCGGACATCGAACCGGCAGAGGGACTGGGTCAATAGTTTACTGCTTCAACCATTGAGTCAACTGATCGGACCGATCTTATAATAAAAAAATAAAATATAATAATTTTACTAAAAAATTTATAATTACAATAAAAAAATAGTGTAATTGGTGTGTGGCGTACTAAAGTGTGATGTGTGCTTTGATTATTATATAAATTGTCTATAACTGTGTTTGCGCGCGCGTGTAGACCAAGAGAGAGAGAGAGTGAGGCAATACCTAGCAAAAACCCACCCCACCAACTGAGTGTGTGCGTGGAGAGAGAGAGAGAGAAAGAGAGAGGAGAAGAAAAAACCCACCTATTGTGAGACAATACCCACCACCCCACCAATTGAGGCAATACCCACCAACTATGTGTGTGTCTGCGTGGAGAGAGAGAGAGAAAGGAGAAGAAAAATCTGAATTTCAAGACTTCGAAATCTAGTGTTTGAGATGATCTAGATCTGTGACGAATCTAAGCCTCCTTGCCTGAGAAGTCGCTGGTGCCTTCAAACTGTTTAATTTTTTAAAACCGGCCAGTTCACGGTAATTTACAAAAATAAGCCGATTTTCCGGTTTTTAGCTGGTTCTCTTCCTTATGTGGTCCAATTAACGAACCGGACCGGTTAAGGTCCCGGTCCGACCGGCTGATCCTGTCCGATTCTTATAACACTGATTGACACTAACACATGGTATGCATAACATAACCATTGATATTATGACAAAGCCTCAATTTCACGTTTTGCCCCTCAATCGAAAGGGAATTACAAGTGAGCCCTTAAATTGGACTCTACACATAAGACAAACTCACTTTAGCACATGTCAGAGGTCGTGTTTGCATTCTCATAAACCAAGTCATGCTCCTAGAGACATGTCCAAGGCTATGTTCGTATTCTCCTAACAATCTGGTCATATCTAATCAGACCATCAATAATCTACTAACATATGAGCTTTGTAGCCAACCCACACAAAAATCACGCAAAAGATCCCAAAACCCATTTCAAGTTCAATGCTTGTACCATAGATCAACACTAGAGAATAATCTTCCTGGTCTCTTGGCCATATAGTAGTTCCACTTTCATACAAACTATTAGATGCAACCGAAGGAAATATTCACATTACGAATAGATATTGCATAGTCCAAGAAAAAAATCCTAAATGAAACTTGCACAAGTCTTGCCCTAATTATGGATTTCTTTAGTCGACGATGTCAGCTATAACCTCTTCAAATATGCATGGATTGAAAGAGTCTGGGTATTGGGATGTTGCACACACAAGGAAAAATAAAGATTGGGCATTGCAATACCACTACAATACCAAGCCCTACCTCTTATACAGACGGAGATTGGAACAACTAGATGTGTTTGAGGATAGAGCCATGGCTACCATAATGCATGATCTAGTATCATGGACAGAGCCATGTTGT